CAAGCGCATCATTCTGCACACCGGATGCGCACATTGTAAGCGCTTCGTGTTAAAAACTGCAAAGCACAAAGTTGAGCCTTTCTTTTAACAGTTTTAAATTTCAGTTACTGTGCGCGTTAAAAACTATTTATAGTCTTTTCTACGCCTGTGTTTCGTTCTCACAGACACCCGGTAGCAAGTAACAAAACAACATTAAACTCCGGCAAGAAGATAATGTCCTTTTTGCAAAATCATAGACATGTATTTACAAATCAAGTATAATAATGGGAACACAGAATGTTCTTGGAGAGAGCTTTACCGAGCTGACTGTCGTAACCGAATGAACAGTCACAAGCCTCCCGGTTTTCATCCAAAATATCTTAAATTGTGTTCCGAAGACGAATGAAGCTTTTACGGGTTTGGAACAACATGGGGGTAAGTGATTAATGACTAAATATTCATTTTGGGGTGGAGTAACCCTTTAAGCTATCGTATGGCTTCAGAAGTAACACAGAATAATACGCACAATCTCGGATTTGGATCGGCCCTCGCTGACAGATACCCGATCCGACAAAAAATGGCAGTATCGGAGCCGATACCCGATATGAATATCGGATCGGCGCATCCCTAGTTTCCACGTCGTCAAAGATAGTTCAGAAAAACTTGAGGGTTAGCAAATGATGACAGAATTTTCATTTTTAAGTGGAGTATCTCTTTAAGAATGGCTTACTTATAGTTGTTTCTGCATATTAAACAAACTATAGTGTTGACAAAACCCCAATTATTTTAGCACTGAATAAATAAAAAGTACACAAAGTGTCTGTGAAGTACACAAATGCACATAAATATAATGATCCAGGTCAAAAAGCTATCTACTATATAGCTCATAAAAACAAATCTAAGGGGAAAATAACACTTTCAAGCCTTAAAGGTAATGTTCGTTGTATCCATAATTAAATAGCAGTTAATAGGTTATTAAGGCATAGTGAGAAAGCCATGTTTGATCTGAAATTGAATTTTATTCCTGTCTGAGAGCACAAGCAGATTCGGGCACTCAGCATGGAACATTTTCTTGCTTTCATCTTTTCTCCTTTTTATTTTTGAAAGCTGAAGTATAACTGGATCAGTCACCTCCAGCCCCATCTCAAAGTTGTGTTTTGTCCAGACAAAAGACAGAGAGAGAGAAAGAGGAATAACATGAGAGTGTTTCACACTGAACCAACAGTGCCCTCATCTGGAATGAGGAAGTATGTCGGGGGTTAATCAAAAGAATAGAAATCCTATTCAAGTCCAGAATGATGTCTGTCCCTACAAACATAGCATGTCTCAACAGCACAAAAACAATAAAGTGTTAGACCACCATCATAATTTCTAGTTTCAAAGTCATTTTTTCAAAGGCAAAGTCATATGGCCAATATTTATTTGATGATTAAAACAGCCTCACATCTGCACCAAACCACGAGACAACAGAGCTGTAGTCAAGGCAAATTACCTCAATGATGCCATCTGTCCAAATCCTCAAAGACCTAAATGCTTTAGATGGAGCTCAAATACACAAAAAGTGTAAAGGAACAGTTCACTCAAAAATTTTGAAAGTTATTGCAGATACTTAAAACGATGATGATTCTATCACTACTTATTCACCTTCATGTTGTTCCAAAACCACGTCTACTGTGGCATCTTCATCCTGCTCTTATGCATACAACAGCAAAGTTCATAGTGACCACAGGCTGTCAAACTCCAACAAACATTATATGGCTTCTGAATATAATTATATTTTAAAATAACTTTTCTATTTTAATATTTTTTTTTTTTAAAGTTGAATTTTCAGCAGCCGTTCCTCCAGTCTTCAGTGTCACACACAAGGAATCTAATATGCTGGTATGCTGCTCAAGGAACATTTCTTCTTATTATCAATGTTGGAAACAGTTGTGCTGCTTAATATGTTTGCGGAAACCATGATACTTTTTTCAGGAATCTTTAAGGAATAGAGAGTTTAAAAACAGCATTTATATGAAACAGAGATGTTTTGTTACAATGTAAAAGTCTTTACTGTCACTTTTGATCAATTGCATTTTTGCAATGCATTTTGCTGATTATTAAAATAATTATTTCAAATAAAAACAAATCTTACTGATATTTAACTTTTCAACACTTTTTAGAGCTTGGCTGTTATATTGAAAGAGCTGTGTGAACATGCAAGTCTTCAAATTGTGCTCCATGGAAAAACAGCATAAAGGTTTGAAACAACACAAGGTGTATAAATGAGTATGAAATTATAGAATTACCATTACCATTTTTGGATGAACTATCCCTTTAAATTGGTATAAAATTTGTTCCTGTAAAGGTGAAACCTTCAAAAATAAAATTAAAAAGACCAAAGGAAGATCTTTGGACAATAAAGGGGTCTATCAACTCACCAACGGTCATGGATTCTGGAAGGCCAGGGGTCAGCAGAACACTGGTCACAGGCGCAATCTGCGCTGACAAGTCGGGCTCCATGCTGAGACACCAAAAGTTAATACAATAAGCATCAGTCTTTAAAGAAAAAATGTTACTACCTAAAATCTTACAAAAATGTGTTCTTTTGTATCAGATACCTAAACTGGAGTTGGCTTCGTTTTTCACTGTCAGTTGGTGGGCTTGAGCTCTCCTTCTGTCCATGAAATTCGACATTCTCAACTGAATGACCAGCTGGAAGCACAAAAATAGCATATTTCTTCATGCCAGGACCGTAGTTACACATAACACTTATTTAAGTAATGCTATATTTTAAGTTAATTTTGAAATATGGAAAATCAGCAGAGACATAAAAATGAATGCCACGTCTATGTGGACAAGACCATGAAAACATAGCAAGATGTCCCTGAATGCAGACAGTTTCTGACAGGCTGTGGGTCTGACCTTGTTGTGTGTAGGGCTCGCTGGGGGCCAGAGGTATGAGAATGTGTGAGTTGTTATTGTCATTGTCATTATCAGTGATGATTTGCTTTGGACTCCATGTGGAAACACTGGATAAACTCCCCACAACCATCCTATGCAGAGCAGAATGTTATGGTCACACTTTACATTAATGTGTCTTTGTTACAATGTAATTCCACAAGTAAGTTCTAAGTAATATTAATTAACAGCATGTACTTACTACAGAGTTTGGTATGTTAGTTGCTTGTAATTATGCACAAGTTACTAATACAATAAATACAATATCATTCAAAAGTTTGAGGTATGTAAGATTCTGTTTTGTATTTTTGACAGAAGTCTCTTAAGCATTTATTCCTGTGAAGGCAAAACTGAGTTTTCGGCGGCCAATTACTTTAGTTTTCAGTGTCACAAGATCCTTCAGAAATCATTCTAATATGCTGATATGGTGAAAGCGGTGGAAAACAGTTGTGCTATTGAATATTTTTGTGGAAACCATGATACATTTTTATTCAGAATTCTCTAATGAAAAGACAGGTCAAAAGAACAGCTTTTATTTGAAATAGAATTTCTGTGTAACTTTGTCTTTACTGTAACTTTTGATCAATATAAACTTCTTTAAAAAGAAAAAAAAAAATTGTACTGACCCCAAACTTTTGATTAGTGTACATGTGAAGTGTAACAAGGACTCATTGAATTAAGAGTTCTTATAAAATTAATGGTTTGTTAATATAGCTATTTGTAATTGTTAATTTAATTCACTTCAATTCAAGTCTCACTACATCCTGGTGTTGATTACTGCAACAATTAAAGCAAGACTTCTAATAAACTCACGGCTCCCCATTCCCATGATCCTCTTCTGAGTGCTCCGGCCTGCTCTTTCCGTAAATATCGTCCTCTTCCTCCTCCTCATTGTCAATGCTCTTGGTATCAGGCAGCACTCCGTTCTGCGGGGGTGTTTCAGCCCAGCTCACGATCCCAGGCTCAGTCAGGCCGTTATGAATGGGAGAGGTAGAGTCTGGAGGCTCCAGAGCCTCTTCAGAACTCACATGACCCGCCGTACTCTTCCTAAGACTCCTCACAACGTCCTCACCAGCCTCGTCCTCATCTTCCACGCCCACGTCATCATCAAAAGAGATAATGTTTGTGATCTTCTTTTTACGTCTGCGCTCTTTTCTTAAACCGGAATCTAAAATGCAAGTAAAGGAATAATACGAGGGAGACTAAATAATCCCCGGTGAATCTCAATCATCAATAGCAACACTACAATAATATTTATTAGTAGTAAAAAGGAGAGAAAAAATGCCTCAATGAGAAATAAAACACATTTTCAGAAAAAATGTGCAAAAATTTTACTTTTAGGGGTACAACAACCTGTCAGTGGGACAGTGCCGTTAAAGGGACATCTTTAAAGGGACATCTTTGTATCGTACCTTATTTACACCTAAAAGGTTCATAGTCATACTTAAAGGGTTATTTCACCCTAAAATGAAAATTCTGTCATTAACTACTCGCCCTCATGTCGTTCCAAACCCGTAAGACCTTCATTCATCTTCGGAACAAAAATTAAGATATTTTTGATGAAATGTGAGAGCTCTCAGACCCTGCATAGACAGCAACGCAACTGTAATGTTCCCAGGTCCAGAAACGTAGTAAGGACATCGGTAAAACTGTCCATGTGACATCAGTGGCTCAACTTCAGTTTTGCGAAGCTACGAGAATACTTTTTGAGCGCAAAGAAAACAAAAATAACATAATTTATTCAAC